GTCAAAATCCAAGGATTGGGAAATTGGGAAAATTGACAAGTTAAATCGAATTAAAATCAGCGTCGAGGTAAAATCTAAGATGCATCATTAATAATTTCCACTTGGGGCTCTTACTAAAGCAAAAAAAGGCCATACGTTGGAACTCACCAGACATTTGGCACAGGGAATTCAGTTTATTCCTCAACGAATCGGTCAAGGGCTTCGCGATAGGGTATGCTCATCATATTCGAGAATGTGATCACGTTCGAGAATGTAACTGAAAAATATAGGGATTCTAACATGAGAATTCAAACTATGGCTATACGTATCTTATCAGACACTGGACGTATTCCTACGACTTATTGATTCACAGGTACTCGACTCAACTACAGAATTCACATCAGTAAAGAGAAGCACAAGAGAGACGAGAAGCCTGTCATGGTGCCTCGACGCCGACTGATGCAATAACCGAGGAGGGTTAGCATAACCCTTGAGTCGCTTCCCTTGAGTCACATCCGCAGTCACGAGGAACTTAGTCATCACCTGATGCAATGATGCATGTTAAAAAGAGTTGGACCTCTTTGTCTTCACCAAGTCGTGTATTGTCACCGTCAATGCCACCACTTACCGTCCTGCCACTAATGGATACGCTTATATTTCCAATATAGGGGAATTAAATTTTCTGCCAAATTCCGAGATTGTTTTTCATGGTTTTTGTACCATGAAGCACTCTAAATCGATGAAAGTCGCATTATGAATATGACTTTACTCTCTTTCCAATGACTTCGAGTTCCTCCTTTCATAACTGACGTTCACACTCGCTTTCAACTCCATTTATATTATATAGTTTGCATCCTCACCCAAGGAGCATCAGAGTTCCAATTTTCATACACAACCATCTGGCAGTTCCCGAGATCTAGCTTAGGTGCCTCATGGATTCACATCGATATAAACACCCTTGAAACATGGCTCACATACATGAAAAGCTTTCCGACAAAAATAAAACCTGAGTGGCGGAGGTAACGAAGGGAGAGCGCGTTCGCCCGCTCAGATCCCAAGCCCCACATATGCCTAGGGCCACACCGACGTGGGGCTCGGGATCTCGCCTCGCATCCTCCGTTTCTTTTCCACGGAATTCCATGGGAGGAAGTCGGATGAGTCAGAGACGGTCGCCTTCTTGGAACTCGAGCTGCGTGCCTTGAGGTAACAGGATTTCGGGGAATTCCTGGCTCTTCTCGAGGAACAGCCTAATACATAATGCATTATGCAGCCTCTGATAGGCATCAGCTTTCAGTATATTTTTCATATGCATATTCATTGAGGGCAATCGTGATTTCATTTTTGCTTGGTTAAAAATTGATGAGATGAATTATTTGATCCAGTGAAGCATAAAGCACTCTCTTCCATTCAAAAGCACTGCTTTCATACTTAAAGTAAAAAGACTTACTAAGGTATTGCGATAGAACAACAGGAAACGCTCTCAACCGGTCTAAAAAGAAAGGGATAAAACCGAAGTTTCTGAGGCACAAAGCCTCCTTCTTCAGGGAATAAAGGAATAAAGGATCTAGCCAAAGAAGAAAATGTCAAGCCAAGAGTAAAAAAAAAAGAGGAGGAATTAAACCATGATGAACTTATGGAAGGACATGCCATGAATCGTAGTTGTGAACTGCTGCAAAACATGATGGGGATCATGCATCTCTTTAATCGGAGCCCTCTTAGAGAGGTTGGTTGCTGCACCGACTGGGATTTGACAGTGAAAAAGCTCTAGTATATTTTGGGATACGAGAAACTGGTCAATTGATGAATCAATCCAACATTTTCTTTATCTGCCCTCCCATATGGGAGGACAGATACTGACAGAGGCCTGGAGTGTCCCCCCCCCCCTCCCGACAATGAATAAGGCAGGATGCTTAATCAACGGACTTCCATCCAAAAGACCGCAGGCCCTTCCTGTTTCTCGTTTATTTTTTAAACTGCATTTCCTGCATGATAATGAAGCGTTCAGGGGGGTTTGAAGAGCTCCAACCCCCCACCCCCTCCCAGTCAACGAATTCGAATTTCGCAGCATATTCTCCCTGGACAAGTTTAGGATAGAGGAGATATCCGGGACGAGATAAAGATCGTCCGGCTCTAGCATAGCAGCGTGATTTTGGCGAGTCTTGTCGCTTGATGAGTCGCACTGCTTCGAGTGGCAGGTAGACGAAATAAAAGGCTCACCCGTTCGCACGCAATCCGGTTTGGATTGCGTGCGAACAGGTGCCTGCTACCAAAGAAATGTATGTCTTTAGGTTCCTTTGCCACTATTAAGCTCCGTCCTTCGAATTAGCTTTGTCAATTTGCATCCATGCAGTTTTCATGAATGGAAACTACAGAATGTATATTCTTCATAATCAGATATTTTCTACGTGAACTAGATGCGATTATGCTTCAGAGACGTTATGAAACTCGCAAGGGGAGAAAGTCGTCTGACTGGATGCGCCTTTATTCCTCAAGTGTTCTTTGGAAGTTTCGATTTCCGATCCGCTTATCAGCAGATAAGAAAGAGGATGAGAAAAATACCACTATCGCTCTCTCTTTAACTCATTGGCTACAACTTTTTGTTACCGACACCAAATTTCTGAAAAATACATCTTGCATTCCTGAATACAAGGGATTAGGACTTCATCTTGACGAACTGCAGGGCACTCAGAAACTAGTCTTTAATTTAATGGACTCGGCTATCGAGGAAAAGTGAGACTTACATGCGCTACAATCTCACTCGTCCGACCGAGGCAATTATGAGAAATGACCCATGACCAGTAATCACCAAATGATAACAGATTTTCCGAGGATCTCATTGACTCCAATAGGCTCATTGTCGCATTCGATACGCTCTCCTCTTAAAGCTAAATATTTTTGTATTCTTAGTGCTTTTTGTTGACAGTATGACCATACAATTTTCCCATATAGAACCCATTGAAGTATTCTGTGTCTCCTGCAGATGACAGGGTCTGATGGGATCCAGAGGTGAACCTCTGCATTCATCAGCCTTATTGGTTCTTAACACCTGTTGCCCCCGAAGCCTGCCAACGGGAGAGCGGAAGCATGTCTAGAATAATACACTTCCGTTTCCTTCATGGTGAGAGAACGTACTCTTTGGATGCAAATTTAGGTGCACATTCCTTTAATCTCTTGAAATTCTGAAGCTATGACTAATGTACATTATACCATGACTGTTCCAGTGATTTCTCTTGGGTAAGCTTGTCTTGTGTTCAATGAAATAACACTCTCTATGCACCAGGACCTTAACCTACGCGTTTCTTATGACTAACGTATTGTGAACGTATTTTATCAACAGTCAATGAATAGTGTGACTTCATGATTCATTAATTAATCAAAAGATTGTGAATTCCATCAACAAACTTTTATTTTAACATCAACTTTTATTACATAATTTCGGACATCAGAAGTGCCCTATCCAATGATATTAAACTCAATACCAAAAAAAAAGATGATGCAAATTATATCATTGATGAGATCAAATTTGTGGAATGAAGTAGACGAACTGGACGGATCATCTTTGGAACACAATCCTATTAATCCATGTTTGGAATGGAGCGACTTTGGTGTAGATTCCGGGGAATCCATCAACCCCGCAGCCATACCCGAAGGAAGATATCCCCACAACCATGAACCTGCTGCTCTTGGGGTCTTCGTACAGCAGAGCTCCTCCCGAATCACCCTGTCATAACATAATATATTTGTGCATAATATATATATTTTTTTAAAATTCAGGTAAGGGGCTTTTCGTAAAGCAAGAGGAATAGCGAAAAATGACTAATAATACAAAGAGGGAAAGTCAACCCGTTTCAACAAGCAAGGATCAAGCTCACACGATATTCACTCTCATATATACCATATTTCCTAATGTTTGTGTGCTTGTCTGTCCTTTAGGCGCGGCCACACCTGTGATCCCAATCCTACCAAACTTTGGATGGTTTCCTCATTTGGTCTGAGGATGGTCATAGGCAAGGTGACTTTTCAAAATTTGGCTGACTAACACGGAGCACTTTTTCAGGTTAGCCAGTTAGCTTTTCATTGATGTGAAGGAAAGGACAACGAACGCACAAACCTGGCAGGAGTCCTTGCCCTTTTCCCCGGCGCACAGCATTGAGTCCTTAATTCCATCGGGAATTTTCACGACTGCCCCAGCCATTTGGGAGTAGGCTGTACTACAGGATGCCAAGTTTACCAGCGGCACCTCCACCTCTTGCAACGTTGAACTGCTCTCCTTCACTGTGCAAGAAAGAAAAAAAATTGAAAACAAGTTAGAAGCACGATCAGAAACGATCATCCCAGATGATTTAAATGAAATAATGGGGGAGATCCATAAAAATGATGAGTGAATGGAGACCAAGATCCGTTCTATGCCGTTCTCCGAGCATTTATGAATTTCAAAATAATTGTATCTTTCTAATGAATAACAATTTAGAAATAAAAATAAAAATAAATGTATATCTCGGCCTCTTTGATTTTCAAAAGAACGGAGACTCAAAAAAATGGGGGAAATTTCCATCTAATCAAATGCTTTCCATAACAGAGATATCAACGATATGAACCCGTTGCCAAGGATTGAAGAAGCCAATTGCATTTCCCTTTAAATAAAATTTTATCGTCTTCGTTTCTCAAGGTTGCCTAGGTATTTTTTTAATGAATTCTTTTCTTCCGTTATAAAGTAAAAACTTTACTCTGTATGATATAGGTTGCAATGGGGTAGGCCGTTTTCACTGCACCGTTTCGGGACTGAGATCAAGACGCTGTTTGGGGTTGTGGAGACAAGCTGGCAGGATTTCCTTAGTGAAATTCACCGGCTTTGACAACCTGCATTTCATCAATATGCACGATCAATATACCACTTTCACGCTCTATTGATCACTTCGAGAGCTTTGCTCCAGCGAGCTTATTGGGTGGCCTACTCTCGCTACAGTCGTATCGCTCGTCCTCTAAACTTCAGTCCTACTTAATACTAAGGTAGGACCCGTCCCGACTATAGGTGATGTCCATGTCTTTCCGTGGTAGAATTCAAATCGTGCTCACCCAGTCGAATCACGTCCAGTCTGCTGCGTTCGTGCCAGCCAACAAACACGGGGAAAAAAATGTGTGTGTGTGTGTGTGTTTTTTCAATCAGGTGATAACGTAAAACGGTAAATTAGCCGTCGCGCGATTCGAGCTATCTGATAGCCCCAGAAGAAATGAGAGTTGGAGAGAGCAATAGTCTTATCACGTACCTGTTTCCTTCAAAACAGTGAGCAGACGTGAGAACGTAGTCATCGCTAATCAAGGTACCACCACAAAACCAGTCATTAGTTTTATTTCGTTCGCCCAGCAAGACCTACAACAGGATACATTTCCCATCACAATGCATGTGCATCATCCGGTTGGGACGCTGCAAGCTATCTTGCTCAGCATATAAAAATACTCATAAATATCTAAGCAAGTCATCGAAAGGGAGGTGTGTGGTAGAGTGGGAAAGTTTTAAAGCGCATCATGCTCGGCCATTCTCTCGTCCTGCGGATATGGCTGACGTGAAGGAACAAGGGAAAAAAAAATTGAATTTGAAGCCTTCCGCTCAATGGCCCGCAACACATTATTTCTGAGGGTCATCCTCATACATCATGCTCGGCCATTCTCTCGTCCTGCGGATATGGCTGACGTGAAGGAACAAGGGAAAAAAAAATTGAATTTGAAGCCTTCCGCTCAATGGCCCGCAACACATTATTCCTGACGGTCATCCTCATACTTATCATCAAAACGTTTGATATTATTGGGATTACTCTGGATTTGGAATGTATACGATCTCGATACTATCTCGTATCATAAGCAGCAGTGAAATCGGGAGAGAAGCAGGAAGCGTGAGATGGAAATATGGGAGATACCATACGTACAGCCCAGGGATAGGCATGAAGTGGAGCAGTGACACCTCCTACGACTTTTTTTTGACGGCGCCATTTCTTTGGTTTTCCGCATTTCCTTTCAGTTGTGGATAGCCTGAATGGAAAGGAAATGGAGGTCAGTCAGACATCGGCATATGTATTGATACAAGTTGTAACAGGGTTTTCCGTCGTACGCGGCAACCGGTATATGAATTGAATAGAGAATAGATTTTTAGTTTAGACAACCATATTTTCAGCTTTGAAGAGGTTCAGCATCCTGTAGTAACTGTCACGCGGTGTCTCGTGGATTTTTTTTTTAAACCTGGGATCCATCCAAATATCTCATGAAGATGAAGGGAACTTCGAAAATTATGCCGACAAAGCCCACCAAAGTCTTAACTATATACTGTATACTGTAGATCAGGGGTGTCAAACTGAAATCGGTCGGAGGGCCGCATTCCCTACCGTGCAGATGCCTGAGGGCCGCACCCATATTTTTCAACTGAAATTTGTGGCGACAGTCTATCAAAGCAGAAATTTCTAAAATACAAGGCGGGCCGGATGAACCAAACTCCGCGGGTCTGATCCGGCCCGCGGGCCGTATGTTTGACACCCCTGCTATAGATCATAGGTACTCTATGTACGAGTGCATTGCGCTATCACTTTCGGAGATGGCACTCTCCACTCTCCGTGAGAAGTGAGAAACACATGTGAGACACATATGCTTCACAAAAGATTCAAAGCAGGTTTGAAGCGTGAAATTTGGGCTGTTTCTCCTTGTATTCAGTCAAGGATCAAATACGAGACTGATGTGGGAGTGTTGGCGAAGGAGCAACAGTCCAGCTGAAACTCTATTCCTACATGAAAGTATTGCGCGAACATCATTCCGAATCTCGGCGACAATCTACTGCAGCCTTTGTGGCATTTCCGTAATTCCTTGCAAAATTAGGCACTGTCTCTTCATCTCTTCAAGAGGTTTCAGAAGCTAAGTTTTTTTTTGGTACTCAGTTTTATTCATGAGAGACTTCCAGGAATATAAATGCGTCATTAGAGACTTTCACAACATGTAATTTAAAAACAATGGAATCCCAAAACCCCTGTTCACACTTTCAACAGACTGGCAGGAGCAATTCCAAAATGTTCTCTGAAGGAAAGGTGACTTTCTTTCGTTCTAAGAACCTGGGACTAATGAGTTTCTGCCCCTCTTCAAATACCAACCCCTCCAAAAATTTCGATTATCATTTGATCACCTTTCATAAAATCAATCCTGGAGGCGTCGGATTCAGCACAGAAGGTGGCATCACACTCCTCATTCCAGTTTGACTGGTCGCTGATCTGATAGTTGGAGGTGTTGCCGGCGCTGTGGCAGTTGCTGCTGCTCGTTCTGTGTCTGTGAAGGAACATATTGTGCAACTGTTTATCCAAATATTCATTACAGGTTGTGAATGGGGAAATGTTTCTCGACTTTCGCTTTATTCCCAGGGAAAAAAATGAATATTTTGCATTGGCATGCTGGGGTTTTAGAGGTAAAATTCTGATTCGTATCTGAAATGTTTGTATTATATATTTACGATAGAAGCTCTTTCGAGCGTATGTTGTAAAAGGGTCGTTTCACCTACGAGTATATGAGGGCAAAACTGTCAAAATGACACTTGACACAAGTCAAGGAAGGCAATGCAACATTTGATATTACAATACTCTATACAAGTACACAAATGCAATGCTGCATACAAATGCAATGTACCAAAAGGGGGAGTAATCCAAAAAAAGTTAGGGAAATTTTTCTTAGGCTCTTCAACTTGGTGTGACATGAGTCAGTACCAAGTTTTCAAAATGTTACCTTCTGAAGATAGATTCTGAAGTTAGACATCGCGATACATACCCTTCATGATTGTCCTTAAGGGGATAAAGTGATAATATCTTTCTTCAGATTAGGCAGATATTTTCCCCGAAAATTGGCTTCTGGAGATTGTGTCCTTCATGTTATATGAATTGCAAAGACCCAAACCTTTTTTTAGTTGCTCCCATGAATCTCTTTTTCTTCTCCTTCCTGTACAGCTATTTTCGGCGTAGTGATGAAGAGAGTGGAATCCCTACTTTCTGCCGAAAAGTCAGGGAACAGCACATACGAGTATGGTCAGGGTATTCTTGCATCTTACTCGCTGGCTGAATATGGACAGGTAAAGTTTCTGTATTAAGTATTTGAGTGTCTTAGCAAGAAACTATTTGGCAGTTTCGAAATATATTTAGATGCTTTCTCAATTCCATAATTAGGAATTTCCAGTTACGGAAATAAATATCAACGTTTAAACCTTTCAAAAAGGATATTTACTTTAAAAACTCGTTTCTGGTTCCGAATCGGTAAATCGGTAACATCGTGTCATTCGTTGATGGAAATAGAACATTTATTGGATTTCTTTTTATATAAGCTCCCTATTTGGATACAGCCTCTTTCAACTCTTGACCGAAAACTTTTTCCTACATGCACGAAGAAGGAATGAGTTACCTGTGAGAGTCGGACAACAGACGAGATGGGTCTGCGGGTTTTCATTTCCCCCGCCCCAATCGCAGATGATGGGCCTCTTGATCCGGTAATTCTTCATGACGGTAGGACAGTCCATAATAGGAGTGCATATTCCGGGTCCCCCGTTTCTCATTTTACAACTCTGACGCTCCAGAATCGTCTTCTCTGTTATGTGTTCTGCCAAAATAGTCAATTTTTAATTTCCATCCGATATCGAAAGACAGCTATTCCTATTCATTGCTATTACCTTACTGTTGAATGTATCAGGCCTATTTTATAAATTTGGGAACCATTTGTGCCTAGTCAATTTCACAAAAACGGTTGCTCCCTTATCTTAGCTCTGTTTCATAGTAGTTTACTTTCAAGAGAAAGTTACCCCTTGCACCTTCGCCCGCGTCATTGTCCTCCTTGCGGTACACATTGGAACCACGCTATTCGCAGTATGGCTTGGTAACAGTTATGACTCATGAGTCAGTTTTGCTCAGCGTGACAAGGTCCTCCACGGAAGAAATACTTTGTTTTGATGATGGGAACCAGCGTTTAGCGTTTCTAGCGTTAATTAAGCTAATTTCATTCAAACTAAATGTGTAGGAAAATAAATGGAAAGTGAACCCCACCCAGGAATCTCACCCTTTCTTTTCACCTCAGTATAGCCGAATGCATTTTACATTTTACATAGGTAGGAACATTTCTTTTATAAGGGTTTCCATTCTTTCCATTTTTTTCATACGGAAGTTATCTCCCCTTTATGATCGCCAAAACACCATAGGATTTCTACATGCATAAACCAAGACAGTCAAAGTTGGCAACCAAAATGCATAATATTCTAATATTTGATTTTTTGAGGAGATTAAACGGTCATGTCTGTTGAAAATGCTTCAAAATGACACATCGAATTAGGATTACATGGATTATGGATTATTGGTATCACGACAGTCACGTATTGTTGGGTGGTAAGTCACCCTCAATGTGACTGACATTCCATTCCAAGAGGGAAACAAATCGCAGAAACTCCGTTAAGGCCGATTAATGCACGTAATAGTGTTATAATACATAGCTCGGGTGAATAAATAAATAATATAAATACGTGAAAGACGACAAATAATCCCTACCATATTTTTTAAGTCCGTCCACGAGCATAACTAGATAAATAAACTCGAAACCGATCCCTCGGGTCATATCGTAATCGATATCATATATGAACGATAGAACTTTATCCAGTTACATGGCACAATTAGATGGCATGCATTATGCACATGAAGGTTGGTTTGTGATTCTCTCACCTGGAACGGCGGGACGTGGCCGAGAATGGGAGGGGGGGAAGAGGACGGTCATGGTCCTCAAAAAATTAAATATTAGATTGGGAACCTGCATTCTGTCACCTGAAAAGACAGTACAAATGATGGTTGCATTGATAATGGTCGCATGCTTAATAGGGCTTGTTAATCGTTGAGATTACATTATTCTTGCAGTAAGAACCGACACAGACACGAAACACGTAAACAAAAGACATGGAAGATGTGCGAAAAGGTGAAGGTGAGATCACATGGGACGGTTCTAATGAGTCTGAAGAGCGGTAAACATCGCGATGAAAAGGATAGGCCTTTCGAGAACGAAGCCAGAAAGCTACAAAGCGAAATACGTGGAGCCATCCTTTATAATATCGGGTATTTCGCGTCATTGCATCATGACAAGCAAGACTTCCTGCCTCGAGGGGGGAAAACGAAAGCGGCGGATCTCGTCGGTGGTTCTTGCCATGATTATCGCATTTCTTATACTTAGCTAGAGGGATCACGATATTGATAAAACAACAAGGGATACTCTCACCCGGTCACTTTAGTTTAAAAGAAAGGAATGAAACCGAAGAACCGAAGAGGCACAAAGCCTCTTTCTTCAGGGAATAAAGGAATAAAGGAACTAGCAAAGTAAGAAAACGTTAAGCCAAGGCTAAAAAAAAAAGAGGAGGAGTTAAAACTCTCCTTCCTTTTAAAGAGAGGTCGAAGTAGGGGTCATACCGATGAATAGTGAAAGGGGGATGTCTGGAGGAAGAAACAGGATCCTATAAGGGTACCTTGGGGCGAAGCGATTTCGCTTTTGAGGTATTAGTGGCCTTATATTATCAGTCGTTGGATATCAATCGCAGAAAAACGATTTTAAGCCAATTGCAAGGTAAGGCCTTGGCGTATGTTGGGCGGGGCTGAGGCTTGCCTCAGTTGGTAGAAGTCCCACGTGTTCGACACCCCCCCCCCCCCCCTTCCTTCCACCTGGAGCTCGAAAGCCTCACCACCGCTCATTACCCTTCCTTCGCTCTCTTCATTAAATTCTTAATGCTGACCTCCCCTTCCGTAACACTTTTTCAGTTCTGGCATTTTCAATACATTATATAGGTTATACACATCTTATGACGGGTATGGGTTCAAAGTGTTACATATGTAAAATATGTCAAAGCGGAGCGGAACCTCACCGGTTTGCATTGCGTGCGAACGGGTGCCTTCTACCAAAACAATCGCATGTCTTTTGGTTCCTTTGCCACTATTAAGCTGTTCGGTCCTTCGAATTGTCATTGTCAATTTGCATCCATGCAGTTTTAATGAAAGGAAACGACAGAATATATATTCTTCACAATCAGATATTTTCTACGTGAACTAGATGCGATTTTATTGATACTTCGAAGAAGTTGTGAAACTCACAAGGGGAGAAAGTCGTCGGACTGGATGCGCCTTTATTCCTCAAGTGTTCAATGGAAGCTTCGATTTCTGATCCGCTTTTACATGCTATCGATTCAGCAGAATCTGCAAACATGGAACGTTTTCTCGTTGAGCCTTTCTCCCTGCCACTAAAAGCAGTGCGACTCATCAAGCAGCAAGGTCAAACATACTTTTCGTGCTTCCATATTACACCAATGAATCGATTCGTTGTGAAGTTGACGTGCTGGCCACCCCAGAATTTTCTTCTCAGAGCCGCCACTGAGCAGTAGAAGTGTGCGTGAATCACGCGGGACTCGTAACTATTTTCGGCGAAGGCCCTTATCGTAATTGTGACAAACAGAAGCTCGTGGCCGGGAGTTTTTTTTTTTTTTTTGCTGGCGGAGCTACCCTGCTGGTTTCCGACTCTCCCAGTCATATGCCTCAGTTGGGATAGGATTCTATTGGGATAGGATTCAGTTGAGATAGGAGTCTGCCTCTTCGAAATTCGAACCCTTGGGAATGTCCGAAACTTCACATTTTCATACAAGCTTCTTCCTGGAGAAACCGAAAACTTGTCTTGTTTCCCAATCATTCGCCGTCCGGGAGCTGATTCCCCTCGTCCGGCCATCGCACGGCCTAGCATGTTATGTAAGGGTGGGTTCTCTGTGTCCTCACGGGTTCGACCCCGAGCGTCAGGGTTTTTTCGAGTGCTCCGCGGATTCTGGATCAATCATTGAAAGTCTCAACTGACTTGTTTATTTTTTTCTCCACAAGAACTCGGGAACAAGTAACTACCACATGAATCAAGTTCCATCCAGATACAACATTATTTCTTACTATTTATTAATTCTTAAATAAAATAACTGAAGGAAATATTAATTTATGAAATTTTAAAAGAGGAAAGAAAGAATCAACATTCACGCGTGAAACGACTCACGAGGTTTCACGCGTCACTTTGAGTGAGTTCAATTCACGGTCGCAATTATCTTGCGTGTCCATGATTCTCAAACGATATTGAATGGCTTGATTGCGTGAAAATGGGTGACAACATGATTTTTCTCCCATGATAGTGAGTCAAAAATCACTCGCGCGCACACCTCTAGTGAGGTGTGGCAAAATTTTTCCCGCTTGTGCGGTTCTTAACCTCTTACCATCGGACACCCCAATCTGAATAGAGGTCCTATTCAGGTGCTCTATTGAATCCTGTAGAACTACATTTAAAACTCAATCGAAGTCAATAAGTTTTTTATATAAAATTTTTGGAAGGTGTGCGTGAAAGTCAGGACTTTATAGATAGGTTTCAGGGCTTTTTTGCTCGACAAGAAGCTGATTATTTAAGAGTGACTCTTACTATGACTACTATGGGGAACGGAGACGCTACTGCGAGATTTTATTCCAAGGATATGTAAGAGTGGGATATGTTTTTGAAAGGGAGGGTAGATTTTTACCCAGAGAGAGAACTCAAGCGGTAGAGCAGCTTCTCGCGCGGGGAAGTACCTAAGGACTGGAGACGAGCAAACGTCGTACCGATCTTTAAGAAGGGCGAAAAGAGTAATCCAGGAAATTACAGGCCGGTAAGTCTCACGAGTATCCCAGGGAAGATCATGGAGAGCATACTAAGGGACCATCTCTTGGATTTCCTCGAA